TTCCCCTCCCCAAGGGCCCGGCCCCGACTCTCACTGATGCCGAAGACCATCTGCGCGATTGTTCCTGGACCGGGGGGGTATCCCAGCTTCATGGGCTTCCGTGCAACCCAGTACACGTACCCGCCCGCCCATATCAGCCCCGCCCCGGAGACCACGCGACAGCTCCAGCAGTTGTTAAATAAGGGGGGCTGCTCTGGGGACGTCGGGGCTTCGGATGTTTGGAGGGGCGCAGGATTGGCGGGAGGGGCGGCCTCAGGAGGCGCGCCGACCTTGACCGTCTCCAGAGGCTGGGACGCAAAAGAACCCATACTCAGGAACTCAGCCTCAGTACTAGGAGCCTTCGGAACTGAACTGACGTCAAAGGCATGGCCGGAAGGGGAGGCGTCGGCGCGCGGCACCGCGGCGCCTGAAGGCCCCTGGGAAATGTAGTTCCGGCCCGCGTCGGGAGAGGACGGGGGAGGGAGGCGGGGCTGCGGTCCCGGATGGAGCGGTCAGCGCCTGAGGCTTGCCAGAAGCGCTCCCCGCCCCACCGGGCCCAAATCCTCTTAGGAGACTGGCCTACCCAACTCCCCAAATGTCTCAATTCTGAGAAACCCAGACTTCTCCTCTAAGGAGTTTCTCATTGCCAGCAAGAAAAGGGAGTGAGACCTTGGGCACTTCACCTGTGTGGAGGCATGTGACTGTGACTCTAGAGTTGCGTTTTATATGTGCTTAACTATGTGCTGGACGCCTTTGCTAAGCGATTGTCTGTGTTATGCCATTTAATCTTCCCAACCCAAGGCGGTATCAATTTCCTAAATTGGTTCAGTGACGTAATCATCGTTGAAACTCGTGTCTGTGGAAACAGTATAATTTCTTAAATGATACCTGTGCATATTGTAAAGGGACTACGCAAATATAATAAAGGTCTTAAAAATGGGTTTGAATTACCTGGACAAATACTTTCAATTTCTCTTTAGCTCTTTTTCTTAACGTCACGATCTCAGTTTCTTCATACCCACGGTATCGTTCCTGCTTTGAGGTCGCTGGAGAAAATTCAACTCAAAATCGGGCCAGCAGATTTGAGGCGTTAATAAAGGATCTGTGCTTACAGGTTTTCCGTGAGCCTGGACTTCTAATTCTGACTGCTGCCTTGCCGTGCGACGTCTCATCATCCACTCCCAGCTTGTTCGCCTTCCGTTCCCTTCGGGTGGAATCGGGTATGTGTTTCTTGGGCCGAGTTGCTCAGAGAGGACTCCAGAGGAAGGCATTTCGGGTTCAGAGGTGGTTTCTGTTAGAGGAGATAGGTGAAAATAGGATTAATTTCAGGCTTGAAACTTTCTCCTTTAGAATGGCTTAAAAATTAACAAGGTAAAAATCAGTTCACTAATTTCACTTTTTAAAACATGATTTTGAGAAGACAAAAAAAAAGACAAAAATAAAGATATGGATAAATAGAAAAGAATAATAGAAGAAAATAACTTAGTGAGAAAGCTGGTTTGGCCTGATGCTTAATTTTAACACCCCCCCCCCC